GTGAAAAAGGACTCTTTCCCAGGGTAAGGGCATCTAAAACTAGACGGCACAAATTTAAAAGGGACCTTAGGGGCGACCTTTTCATGCAGAGGGTGGTGCATGTATGGAATGAGCTGCCAGATGAAGTAGTGGAGGCAGAAATAATCATAACATTTAAAAGTCATCTGGATGGGTATACTAATAGGAAGGGTTTAGAGGGGTATGGGCCATATGTTGGCAAATGGGACTAGATCAGTTTAGGATATCTGGTCAGCATGGATGAGTTGGACTGAAGGGTCTGTTTCCATGCTGTATAACTCTGACTCTCTTGTTTGCATTCTAACTGGCAATTTTGGGCAATAAGCCCCACTTTCTTATATTTTTGCTACTGGGCTTCGAGTCCAAAACGTGGCTCCTTCTGGCGAAACCTGCCACTTCGGTGGCATTCTGTTTGGTACCACACTATACTGAGCCTCCACTACTTAATGCACCCAGACACCGACACCTTTGCTGGCTGCCACCTTCATTGAGGTATCCATTTCAAAAGCTGCCTTGAAATCTAGGACACTCTTTCTTTGTTAGTAGCTTCCATTGAATGGGTGCATGTCGTAGCCACAAATCGACTTGTCCTGTTCGGCACCCTGGAGGAATCCTCTGAGTGCACAGTGTTCCACTTTCTGTGTAAGACAGCTACAAAGTAGGCAATGGACTTTCCTTCCTGTTGTACCGGTTTATAAAAACAGTCACCAGTGGCTTTTGTCAAAAATGACTTTCTGACACTTCACACAGTTCTTCATAGCTCGTCTCGGCTGGGTTCTCAAGTTCCACTAGACTCCTTAGAGCCACGAAAGTCTTGCTCCCATTGGTGCTCCAGAAAACCAGTACCATTAAGACTTCAGACACTCTTTGTTTTAACTTGTATGTGAAAGCAATGTGTACAGAATTCCACTTTCTGTCTCTTTGTTAAATGGTCTTATCCTCTGAATTGGCCTGCAATTTTTTGTTGTCCTGTTGCTCAAGTCTGAGTAGCCAGTGGCAGTTTGCAGCCTGAGCCTCCTTGGTGAATTCTGTCTGTGACACTTTTTTGGTAAGCTTCCAAGTACCAAGTGGGTACTTGGGAGCTTACCAAAAGTGTCACAGACAGAATTCACCAAGGAGGCTCAGGCTGCAAGCTGCTACTGGCTACTTCACCTATTCTTCACCCATTGGCAGTAGCTCAAGTTCCCTCCTTGGCTTGCTGCCAGTGACTACCCTTCTCCTCTGGCATTGACAGAAGCTTGTGTTCCCTCTTGACCACTTCCCTGAACATTTTGGTCTGAATCCCAGTGAATCTAGCACAATACCTCCTTGATCCTGTGCCATTTTCCAAGTCCAGACAATGTTTGATCTCCCTTCTGAAAATGGTGGTAGCACACCGTTAGTGGGCCATGACGCCGCCTCGTTGCCACTTATTATGTTTGGTTCTAATAATAAGACGACCATGAGGTTGGCCTGTAGAAATTTGAACTGGGAGCAATTATGATGTTTTTACAGTGACACAGTATCCAGCCTCAACTACGTACATTAAATTTCCTAATTGCCAAAAAGTGAAAAATGTAATAATGGGGTAATTAACTTTGTGATCCATATGAATATATGAGGAAAATGTTTTTAATCAATCCAAATAAATCTGTTTTTCTCCTACTTTCCGTAAATGGAAAATCTCATGGTATTGTTGTCCACTTTAACAGTAAGTCTGGTTTACTCTGGTCCGACTAGTCATTTTCCCATCTATGAAAGCACTTGCATGTGCAAGGCAAACTGCTTTCAAGTTACTGCTATTAAAATGTCCAACATTCTCTCAATTAGTTTAAAGAGTGCATTATTGGAGATGGGGGTAATTACAATTCTTCAGAGTAATGCTAATAGTGTCAATACATTGAGATTGATTGAAGACAGCCTTAAATGGGATCGTGGTGCTGGAGCATTCATGCAATGTTGTGCATCAGAATGAAGCAGCAACAAGTTAAAGCAGTGACAAAATTGAGCAGGATGCAGGAAACCAGCAGAATTCAAGCACAGACCACAAGACTTTTAAATTTTAATGAGAAACTTATTCTAAAGAGCCTTCCATTCTTGTTTAAAAATTGCTTGCTATTTAAAATTTAAAAATTAAGTCATTGTCATCTCAATTTATTTGAACTTTATTATATGTTTTAATAGCCTCCAACATTGTATGACTGATTTTATATAATTAAAAAATATTCAGTTTGGATTCCCTGCCAAGTTTCTAGAATCCACTGATTTCTAACCTTAAGAGTGAGTACAAAATGCAAAGGACTAACTTCTGTTAAAACAATCCATCAGGTTTTTTCATATTTCCAAGCGTCTCATAAAGAATGTTATTTTGGTTTCTCAGTTAGTGTTCAGTCAATAAAACAAGTGAAGCTATAATGTTTCAATCAAGTGCTTCTGAGCTACTGAGATTAATAATGTTACGCTAGCACCTCTATTAAAGGCATTTAATACATTGAACTTTTTAAAATATGTTTCTGTCTTCTCTTGAAGACCAGCTGTGCTGGGTAATGTTCTCGCAGGCTTCTTTTGGTATCACCTTGGAGTGAAAGCAATTCAGTTCAGCACATTATTCAAACAGTTGGTCAAGAAGGAGAGATTGTTAAGAAAGATAGATGAGTCTGGTATTAGCTTGATATTCGCACTTAAGTATTTTGCACCAGATTTAAGAGATTTTGAGAAGCCATTAGAAACATGGAGAGGTGAGCAGGAGACTTTCATTTTATTTTCTGTTAATCATCTCAAAAAGTTAAGAATACTTTTGTTTCAACCATATTTCAATTACTTGACTTTCCTGAAATGAATATTAGCATTTGACTTGGAAAGCCTGTGAAATGGTAAGAAATTTCTGATATGCTTCAGAGAAGAACACTGGAAGAAACCAGACAAGAGGCTAATTGTTGCTTTCTGCTCAGATATTACACTAGTTGTTAATGATCTAAGTGCATAAAACATCTAACATACAGAACTGCACAGTTTATACATGCCATAATCTATTCAAAGCAAATATATTTAGCTGTGGTCAGTCTTCCTGTGGTCTTTGAGAGATGTTGCGCTTGAATTAATAAGGTGAGTAATATCCTTGGTCTAGAAAATTAACTTCTCAAGACTAGGTTGTATGAGTCTAAATTTTAGGTTTTATGCATCTGATACCCTAGAACTTGTAAGTTGAACAACACAATAATGTGGAGGAAAGGTATGAACTCCATAGATGTGAATTCCCATATGGTTCCAAATATAGCAATATCTGGCAGTGAAGGGTGTATTTCTAAGTAATAAAAATTTGCGACTTATTCCTGAGATATTTTAAAGGAACTCAACCGACTTGCTTTTAATTCAGGAACTGATTCAACATCTGTTTCTCTGCTAACCCTTTTCTTGATTTCTGCATTTTTAATATTTCTTTTATCACCTCGCAACTTTGATTTGAGTGTTTTGACAAAAGCTATAGCCTTTTTTCCTCTTTAGATTTAATTGATATCTTGTGTATTGCCAGCATTTTCTGGTTTTCAGACCATTTGTGGTTTTCATTTGAATTTGCTAATTTACTCTGACACAACAACATCAACTGCTCGTTCATTGGGCCTCTATAGATGAATTCAGACAATTAACTGTTGTACTGTTTGCTCAGGACACTTTGCACTCCGACTGGAATTACGTATTACTTCATAGTTTGGATTACAGAAAGCTATAAAAAGACTCGCATCATCCACATTTTTATTTGTGATCTTGCAAGATGTGGCTTTACTTTCATGCCTCCAAAATCTGCTTGGAAATTGGCTGTGTTGTACCTTTTCAATATAAACACAAACAAAGTGATGGAGAAACGCAGCAAGTCTGGCAACATCAGTGGACAGAGACTCTGAACTGAGGATTGTGACTCTCCCTATCTTGCTCTATCCTGGTCATTCGTGCTAGTTCTGCCCATCTGACACACTGCTCCATTCCTTTTTCACTCTTATCACTTCCTTACTCCCCATGGCACCTATCCGTGCAGTCACAGTAGATGTAATACTTGCCAATTGACCATTTCTTTTCTCACTGTCCAAGGTTCCAGACACACCATCCAGGTGAAGCAGAGTTTTGCTTGTACTTCCAATCTAGTCTACTGTATTTGCTGCTCACAATGTGACCTCCTTTACATTGGTGCAGCAAAACACAGCCTGGATGACTGCTTTGTGCAACGCCAACACTTTGGTTTAGAATGACTCCAACCTTGACGTTCCAATCAAGTACTAAGTTCCCATGCAAGCATTCCTGTCCTTGGCCTGCAATAGTGTTCCCTCGAAGTACAGCTGGAGAAACCACAATCTCATTTTCCACTTAGGCACTTTATAGCCTCCAAGACTTAATATTGAATTCCACAACTTCAGAGCATCACCTTTTTGTATCCTCAATTTTCGTTATATGCACCAACCCACCTACGAACTTGGTCTTGTTGACTGCTTCAGCAGAGTGGACCCGTTTTTCTCCTTTTCACAACTTCATTTACATCTTTTTTTACATCTTTATCTTCTCTTCAGTATCACTTGCAACCTTTTTTGGCTCTGAGCACCCTTTCAACGTGTTCCACTTGTTTCTCCTGCCCCTCTATTTACAGCATAAAATACATAATTTTCCAATCCTTTTCAGTTCGTTTCCAACTTGAAGTACGAGTTCTGTTTATCTCTAGACCTGCTGACTTTCTCCAGCATTTTGTTTTATTTCAGATTTCCAGTATCCATACTATTTTGCACATTTTTTAACTTGACTCATTTCGATTACAGTGCTATTTGCTACAACACATGATTCCTCATTATATGCGCGCATATATTCTTCTTTCTCCATTTTTATTTGTTTCTCTGCCTTTTCCTCAGCTAACATTTTTTTCTCCTGTCCCTTTTGACTTCGCTCCATCAAATGCAAGCGAAGTTGATTGGAAATCAAAAACAATGTCATTTTAGGTTCATGACTATCCTGATTGGAAATTGCTATATATAAAATCTAATGACCGCTTCAGATGGATGGAAATGTTAGACAGATTATGCAGATCTTGACTTACTGCCTTGGAATTGAAGGTTGTAACATGTAGTCCAGGTGTTCGTTTGGCACTTGGGGTGATTTTTTTTTTTTTTTTTGTTTGTTTGTTTTTGATAGTTTCAGACTTGTAGTCAAAGACCTGCAGACTTTGCTTATAGTCTGGGTGCACTGAATTCCACATGGGGGGTTTCAATAGCACTAAAGCTTTTCTGGTGAATTCCTAAAAATGCCAACCGTTTTAAAAATTCCATACTTTCAGTTTCTCAATTGTACTGTTGAAAGAGAGGTGTCGAAAATTCCCAAAAAGATAATTCGGATTCATAGATGGTGACATGATTGAGGAACAGCATTGTAGCACATACTGGCATTAAGGTGGTCATTTTCCAGTTGGGGAGAAACAGATGGAATGGGATCTAAGGAATAATTTAATGGGTTTCTATTTCATTTAATTGCATTTTCTACATTAAGTTGAAGCTTAGTTTGTAAATCTGTATGATGCTGGATCTCTTGCATAAATTGCTGGAAAAAAGACAGAATAGCTTTGTCTCCTCTGTAACCTACAACCATTTCTGATATGAGCCCCATTATGCTTCTCAGAACAGTTATAAAGGCTAATCATTTGGTTCTGTAAACAGAATGTGCTGTTTGTAATTCATGTAGTTTGCTTGTAAAAGTTTTATGTACATCTCTTCATTCAGTAGTATGCAACTTGAAAGGTGCATCTTTCATTTGGGGTCTTGGATATGGACATAGATAATCACAATCAGTAATATTTTAAAAACTCTATAACAATTGAACGTGAACAACCATGCAATTGTGATTCCATTCAGACTAGCATCCCCCGAAAGACATTCTCCACTTAAATGTTGGGTCCCTCTTTACCCCTACTTTTAACATTTCTGGATTCCATATTTTGCTCTACTGTCCTAAATAAACCAGAGAAAGTGTTTTTACTTGCACTGATATCAAGGTAAGTTGCTAGCATGTGCAGGGAGTGAACAGAGCGCTAATGCCCTGCTGTCGTATTTTCTGTCACTTTCTAAAGTGACAATCAAATTTACTGGGCAGACAAATAGAATATACTGAAGAAACAAATCAAATAACACATTAATGCTGCTACTATTTAAAGTTTGCATATATAATCTTAATAAATTGTTTCGAGCTGCTAAATAATTAAATGCTAAACAATTTCGTTTCTGCTTGCCACTTTTAGTGTACTTCCTAATAGCCACCCTACAAAGATCATAGTGTCAATCTTCATGTCCCAGGCACGTGGGTATCCTTGTGGCAGAATTATGGTTGCCCAGGAAATCATGACTTGTTCATCACATGGAGGTTTTTTTAGTTATTCAGCTGTCATCCATCTGACCTAGAAATGGTTGAGCCAGAACAGACAGCATTAGCTTGGCAGTGAATGTCTACTGATGGTTGTTTCCTTCGGTGCATTTTGTTGCTGTTGTACGAACTCAGTTGACATGTGCGTAACCCAGAACACTGTCCCCCTTTCCCCCAACAGGGGCAGAGTTTTTGTCGATATTTCAGGAGTACCATATTTTTAATTTTTGAATTCAGGCAGGATGGCAGCATCACCTGCAGCTTTGCCAGTTGGAGTGAGAGGTCAATACTGAGTTAGATATTAGACAAAAACGTTCAAAGTTTCACTTCTGTCATCATTTTTACATTTGGCTTTGTGCTGTTTACTGATGAACTTTTGAAGTTGTTAACTATCTGGTCATTTTGGTTGAATACTTGTTTTTGTATTGTGTATTGGTTCATTTCTCACAGCTCAAATGGTGTGAATTGAACATAAATTTTCCACCTCATGGCATTTGTGGTCATTTAGTACAGTGACGGACTTTATTTTTGTGAAAGTGTAGCCACAGCATACTGGAGATGAACTTCTGTTTTTAACTTGTTGAATACAATTGTGGAAAATTGTGCAATGTGTTTTATAGCTTTATTGTACAGAAGATAAGATTCAATGAATTAGATTCTTTAACAGTTACAAAGTGTGATAGCAAATCATTGAGTTCTTTGAGAATAATAACTGCCACAAAGAAAGTTGATATTGTGTTGTCAGAACAGTTCTTATTTAAAATTCAGTTTAAATCCAGGCCAGATGAACAAGTTCTTGAAGGCAGTTTGTGAGCTAATTTAGCTCCTAATTTCTTTGAGCTGTGGCAGAAAAAGCAGCAGCCAGGAACTACAGTAATTATATAGCTCAGGAAAAAAAGGTTTGAAATTGACCAGTGTTTTACTTTGCTGCATTTTGTGTATGCAGCTCACAATATGCTTAAATATTAGCCAAATATTTTGTTTGCCTTTGACTTAGTAAAGTAACAACAGATCATCTTTGAAACCCAGACTATCAAAAATGTCAGCAGTGATGTGTACTTGATTCTGTTTATAACTTTTCATACTTGGTGTCAGTTTTGAGTTCAGATTGTTTGCCTTTGCAGGTAGAATTAATGCATCTTTACTTTTAAGTGGCACTACAATCTAACTCTTCTATATTTTTTCTTCTGTATTCTCCCACCACCCAACCAACAATAACCCAATAAGTTGCCTGTTGGAAGGAGATGCTAAAGAAGAAATATTGCAGCCTCCGGAACCCCAACCTGTACCACCGATCCTCACTCCTTCTCCTCCGTCTGCATACCCAGCTGTTACTACTGTGTGGCAAGACAATGACCGCTACCACCCTAAGCCAGTGGTGCACTCATTTACAACACCACCTCCCACAGACCTCAATGAAAATTACAACAAAACTTTGGATACCTACAAACAGAATGAAAATTGTGCTGTGCACATTGACCCGATTGAAAAAAAGCTAGAAAGAAAACTGAGTATTGAAATAAAGAAAATACCACTCCAAGAGGGACCCAAAAGTTTTGAAGTGTCCCCACCTGGTGGAAGCAGCTCTTTTAACAGAGTATCATTCAGTAAAGTAAAGTCTGCATCAGCAGTTGAGAATGAGGAAACCAGTAAATCAGTGGAACTAAGCTGTGGACAAATTTCTGCAGTTTCAGAGGTGGACGTTCGTCACGTGGATGCTGCCGAGGAAGGGGGGAGTACTGATGTTGTCTTGAGACCCGTACAATTGCCACTTAAGGAAAGAGCTCATGCTTTGTGGAACAAGGCAAGCCACGAATGTCCACCACCTGCATTTAGCAAATCTTCCACTGGTGATGAACTGTGCAATACTCAATGCCATTCTTCCCAAGCATCTGCTGTACCAGCCAAAACATCATCAAAAGACCGAACTGTAATTCAGCATTTGACTCTGGACACTGATGACCGTGGTGTGAATGTGGCACCCCTCAGTTTTACTAATCCTCTCCACTCTGATTCGGAGCCAGAAGAGATGGATGTTGGGACAGCTGTACCTAAAAATGTTACCAGTATTTTAGCAAGTGCCATTGTTACTGCCACCGTACAAAATGAAAGACCTTCGACAAGAAAAATATCACCCATGTTTATTGCTCAGGAACATTCACCCAGCACACTAAATTTAGGACCCGAGGAATGTAAGTATTTCTTTATAGTAACAAGCCCGATACTCTCTCAGGGGGAAAGCACCAATTATTTAATTATCTTTATCATAATATTTTAGTACTATGTAAAACTTCAACTTGCATATTAGCATTAGTTATTGGTACTTTATTGCCACTGCTCTATCATGAACGGATATATAAATTTAAGTTTTTGATTTTAAACAGTGTCTTTCTTTTTTATTAAGAAAATGGTTTAGGTCACAAGTGGTATCTAAAAGTTTATCTGCTATGGAATTGTTTTTATCGAATTTGACTATGTTCTGCTTGATGTTTACAAAAGTGAATGAATATTACAATGATAGTTTTAATCATGTAGATTTGAAAAATGGAAAATGTACAAGCTTCAACAAAATATAAGCTTTGTATAAACCTGACACATGAACCATCAGTTACCTTGGTAAGAAAAAAAAATACCTGTCCTGTTTCTCCAGCATTCTACCACTTGCACCCAACTGACAACTGCTTCAATTGTTATAAGTAGTGCTGAGTGAAAACCTTTTAAATGCTGGAGTGATTGACTAGTTTTAGTCAAGGTCTGGTTATGTTAATTGACTTTTTCTATTTCTCTAAAAATCCAGAGTATTGTTATACAAGAATACACAAATTAGCTGCAGGTTGAGGCCATATGGCCTCTCAAGCCTGCTTTGCTATTCCATAAAATCATTGCTGATTTAATGGACTGAATTCCATTTCATATCTGTCCTCCATAATTTGATTCTTTGTGAGTCAAAAATCTAACTAACACACCCTTAAATATTTTTAATGATCCAGCATTTGTGCAGACTTTGACATTTTACCAGAGTCATTTTTTTCCTATATTTAATTTTATGCAGATGAAAGGTTTGTGAAAATTCATTGTGAGTGAGACTGTTAGGAGTTATCTGATTCAATTATTTGGCTCCTGTGTAAAGTACTTAACTGAGAGTTCAGTTATTTTTCATCTTTGTATTTTGGTGTTAAATTCAAAGGGATAGTATATTCTCAGTTGTTTCAATTCTTAGTGTTAAAAAAGGTTCAGAAAAGAATGAGCAATATTCTAAGATATGTAATTAAGTGTCTTATTTTTGTGCGCTGTACTAGGTTGTGGAATTTTTTGGCTTTGGGGAGAAAGTTTCAGTATGTATTGCAGTCGTTTGCTGCAGGAAGTATCATGCATTTTGTTTCCCTTACAGCATCAGCTAGGTATTTTAATATTTTTGTAGGTGGTTCCCTATTCTGTCCTTGTCCTATTTTCTGCAGAGTGGAAGTCTATGAAGCTCACACCAGGTGTGTGATAGAATACTCACCAAGTATCTAGATGGGAGTAGTTGTTGGCTATATTTGAATCTTGATACCATCCAGGAAAAAGCTGTCTGTCTGATCAGTGTTTTGTGTAACTGCTGCATTGCAGCTTCAGTTTATGCTGGCTTTGACAGCTTTATGAACGTTACTCTGGAGTCATGCAGCCCGGAAAAAGACCTTTCGGTCCAACCAGTCCATGTCAACCATAATTCCAAACTAAACTAGCCCCGCCTGCCTGTACTTGGCCCAGATGCCCCCAAACATCTCTTATTTATTTATTTACTTATCTAAACTTCTTTTAAACATTGGAACTGTACCTGTAATCACAGCTTCCTCCAGAAGTTCATTCCACACACGACCCACTCTCTGTGGAAAAAGAAATGCCCCTCATGTCTTTTTCAAAATCTTTGTTCTCTCACCTTAAAAATATGCCCTGTAGTCTTGAAATTCCCCACCCTGGGGCAAAGATTTGTGCCATTCACCTTATCCCTGCCCCTCATGTTTTAATAAACCTCAATAAGATTGCCCCCTCAACCTCCTACACTCGAGTTGAAAAAGTCCAGCCTATTCAACCTCTCTTTAGAACTCAAACCCTCCATTCCCACCAACGTCCTGATAAATCTCTTCTGAGCCCTTTTCAGCTTCATAATATCCTTACTGTAACAGGATGACCAGAACTGGACACGGTACTCTCGAAGAGGCCTTACCAACCTCCTGTAAAACCTCAACATAACACACCAACTCTTATACGCAAAGGTCTGAGCAATGACGCCAAGCATGCTAAATGCTGCCTTAACCACCCTATCTGTTTGTTGTTCAAAAGAAGTTCAAAAGCTACAGCATTATGGGAACGCTCTCAGCTACAAGTTCATCTGCATGTCATCTAGCTAACAGACTTGGATATTTATTACCCACCCCCATTATTGCTGAACCAAAATCTTAGAATTATTCTAACACTGTTGTGGGAGCAAAATAACTACAGTGACTGCCATGGCTCTTGTAGAAAACCAATGTTGCTTGCCACTTGTCAGTCCAAGCCTAGCTATTGTCCAATCTTGTTGCATTTGACTATGGACTGCTTCGATATGAGATGTCATGAATAGTGCTGAACGTTGTGCAAACATTCCCACTTCTGACCTTGTGATGGAGGGAAGATCATTGAAGCAGCTGAAGATGGATGGGCCTGGGACACTAGGAATTCAACAACCGTGTCTTCCTAGATATCAGATTTGACACGAACCAGTGGAGAGTTTAACCCCGATTCTTATTGATTCCAGTTTTACTAGGGCTCTTTGATGCTACACTCAATTGTGTGTAGCAGCTTTGATGTCAAAGGCTGTCACATTCACCTCATCTGTGGAATTTAGGGCTTTTGTTCATGTTTGAACCAAGACTGTAATGAGGTCAGGAGCTGATTTGTCCTGACAGAACCCAGCTGGACTTCAGAGTGGATGCTGCTTATAGCACGGTTGTTGACGCCTTCCATCACTTTACTGGTGATTTCAGAATGGACTTCTGGGATGGTAATTGGGGGGTTGCGTTTGACCTGCTCTTTGTGTACAGGACATAGCTGGGCAATTTTCCTCATTGTCAGGTAGATTCCAATGTTGTAACTGTACCTGAAGAGCTTGACTGCGTGATTGGCAAGTTCTGGAACACCAGTCTTCAATACTACTGTATAATGTTGTCTGAGCTCATTGCCTTTGTGGCATCCAGTGCCTCTAGCCGTTTCTTGATATCTCATGGGGTGAATAGAATTTGATCAAAAATGTTCAGTTGATAAACTTTATTCTTTCAGCACAACTTTGAAGAAAACTATATGCTTGAAAAACTTCCTTATCAAACAGAATTGGCCAGATTCTGCTGTCAAAATAATGCGCTCATGGTAATTTCTATTATTTGTGTGTAAATGGTCCAGCGATTTCAGGTGAGGTGCAAATGTGCAATTAAGCTTGAATACAGTATCCAAAACTTGTGTTCTTGTTTGGCTGTTCACATTGTGACGCATTGCTATCTGTCTCACCATTGATATGCATGAAGTATTGCGATGCAGCTAAATTTGCACAGTCGATAGGAACTAAACTGGCTGCAGGAAGCTAACTTCTGTCATTTCAAACGAAAGCACCCTTTTTAACTATAGATAAATTTTAATTGCCAAACAAGAGTCTAGCACGGAGTGTTAACAATTGCAAGTGTACATTCAGGTAAAGTTTCAGATGTTGGAAAGTTTAAGAATGTCATTCAAAATTTGTTTAACCTTTTTCTTGCTCACCATCCAATCTCTGACTAGTTCTCTTAATTCCAAATAGACTTTGAATTTATCCACTCCACTTTCTGCTTCCTTGACAATTATTGTGCTGACTTATTTTTCCCAAATCATCAATCTAATTTGGGTGAAGATTGCCTTGTTTACTCAGATCCCTGTTTTCCTTCCTGTATCATTATCGGCTTTCAGCAGTTTCAGCAGAGTGTAATACTAAGACCAAATTTAATTGGAGATGTTGTTCCATGCTCGGCTGCAGAAAATTCTGGCCTGATGGTTTTAATCTGACCTAAAACTACCTATTTCCATGTCCATTACCTCAGAGAAGTTACTCCAATAGGATAGTTGTGTCTTGTGTGTTTATTAACTAAAATAGAAACAAAGTGTTGGAGAGCCTCAGCAGGTCTGGTGACGTGTTGAGAGAAAAACAGTCCAGTTTAGAGTACAGTATGACTCTTGCTTTGGAACTCTAATCAGTAACTCAGCTATTAATATTTAGTCACAATTTGATTTTGAATTTGCCATGATATTCTTTCTTTTTTCAAACTAAATTGAATGCACAGGAACACTTCCTGTTGTCTGATCGTTAGATGGCATCAATTGCAATAACAAATACAATTCAGAACTTTTTTAAAGTTTATTGGTGTGAACCAGATGTCTGCAGATTGTCATTAGGGTATCAACATTTTATACTCCAAAAAAAGCGCAAGAGCTAGAGATCTCGTTCAAACTGAGTCATCTTGCATTAGATATGAGCATGCAAGGAGAAACCCTACTTAATTGACTGTCTGTCTTTACCAGTACAATATTTGAGCTGTCAATTTATAGCACTTTATACTGCCCTCATCTACACACCTGGTCACCTCTTCAAAAAATTAAATCAAGTTGATCAGTCATGACTTCCCTTTAACAAAACAATGCTGACTGTTCTTGATTAATCCCTGCCTCTCCAACTGCATTAATTCCATCTTTCTGAATTATTTCCAATAGTGCCCCCACCACTGAGGTTAAACTAATTGGCTTATAGTTTCCTGGTTTATCTCTTGATCTCTTCTTGAATAATAATGCCACATTGGCTCTCTTCCTCTGACAGCTCTCCTGTAGCCAGAGGAATTGATGTTCCCTGCTACTCCTTCCATTGTCTCACTCAGCAGCCTGGATATATTTCCTCTGACCCTGGATACTTATTAACTTTTAAATCTGCCAGATCACTTAGGACCTCCTCTGTCTATGGTAATTTCTTTAATTATATCACAGTCCTTCTCCCTGATTTCTATACCCATAACATCCCACTCACTAGTGAATACTGACATAAAGCATTTATTTAGAACCCTACTTGTGTCCTCTGACTCTACGCACAAGTTACCACTGAGGGCCCTATTCTTTCCTTGGTTATCCTTTTGCCATAATGTACTTGTAATATGGCTTGACTTTCCTTTGTTAACTGTCATTATTCCTTCAAACCCCATTTTTGCTCTTCTCCCTTCCTTTAAGTATTCCCTTGCACATTGTACTCCTCGAGGGCTTCTGTTTTGAGCTCTCTATCTGCCAACAGCCTCTTTCTTTTTGTAGACCTGTTTAGCCCTTGATATCTAGGGTTCATTGGATTTGTTGGTCTTACCCTTTATTTATTCAAATATGTTGGCTCTGTATTCCCTATTTCCTCCTTGAATGCAACCTATTCTCTGACATCAATATACCTAAAAGTATCTGTTCCCAATCCACTTTGGCCAAAATTCCCCTACTAATACTTCAACTACATGATTTGCTTGGCTTCATTACCTAAAATTAGGTCCAGGACTATGTGTTGTCTTGTAGAGCCTTCTATAAACTAGCTTAAAGCGCTCCTGGATGCACTTTAATAATTCTGCTTCCTCTAAACCTTTCCCACTATGATAAACCCGGTGAATGTTGGGGAAGTTGAAATCCCTTACTATCGCTACCCCATTACTTTTACTTTTATAGTTTTCTGAAATCTGCCGACATATTTGTTCTTCTATTTCTCTCACTGTTAGAGGGCATATAGTACACTGCCAGAAGTAATCACATTCCTTCTTTGTTTTAAGTTTTAACCATATGGGTTCATTTGAGGAACCTTCTGAAATACCATTCCCTTTATTGCTGCAATTGATTCACAGATCAGTATTGTGACCCCAACATTCTTCCCCCGCCCCACCCTCCAAACCCCTTCTGTGTATTGACTGAAGACCTTGTATCTGGAATATTGAGCTGCCAATCCTGCCTCTCTTTCAACCATGTCTCAGTGATAGCAACGATATCATACTCCTGTTTCTTAATTTGCAACTCCTCTGCCTGTCCCACTCCTCACGTTAAAATAAATACCATCCAACCTTGTTTAACTGGCCTATAATATCTGTTCCTTCTTGACACACTTGCTGTCTCTTTTAAATCTAGCCATTCATCATCTTTTACCAAATGTTCACTCTGGATCCCACCTCCTGCCATGTTAGTTTAAGTCCTCTCCAACATTTGTAGTTGTGCTTTACTTTCTAGATAATTGATTATTTGCTAAAATTTTATGTAACATGACTGAAAACTAGTAACACTGTATGGTGACTGGAACTGTTGTTCTGGTCAGCTTGATCGATTGAAGTAACTTGAAGACACCAAAAAAATTGAGTGCAATCAAAAATGAACAATAATAGGCTGGGCATATCCTGGTAAAGAGTGAGCAGTATCTGGCCATGCTGTAGATGGCATAGGGCCAGATCAGGAAATAATTCATGTAAATCAACATTCTGGGAAGTCACACTGGAGATGTACAGTTTGCATCCACTTGTTGGACAGAAACTGGGCAAGGCATCCAGTAACTTTTCATTAAAATTGCAAACTTTGGTAAAGGAGAAACACGACAAAGTTTTGCATTGAAGTGTTTGATTAAATATAGACATGAAGTGCATTGACCTGTTTTAGGTATAAGGGCTTTTTATTGAAATTAATGTGTATGGCTAAAAGCCAGATCTTCCAGCGGTCAGACCATTTTTATATCACATGGATAGGAGATGCACATAAGGACCTGTAGAAATTCCATTGTAGCAGACCCTGAAGGAATTGCCTGAGAAATTGAAGATTCTGCTCGACAATTCCTCTACACTTGGAATTCAAAAATATCCGTTTATATTGAAGATTTGGAGTGTTCCAATGAAATTAAGTAAATAATTATTTTGGTAGGGTTAGGTGATTAAATGTAAAGTCTAACTCTTGAGCAAGTATTCACCTGGCCCCAGCTCCAGACCACCCCTTACCCCAGAAATCTAGACCCAACACTCCCTTTCCTAAGCACAGAATCCATGTGTCTGGCTGAATCTGATATCTTCCCCCTCATCTTGATCTATCCTAAACACTGCATCACTTAAGCAACCACCTGGCCCATCCAGTACCCTAACCTGTCTTGCCTAATGTACTTACCATTTGACAGCAACTGTCAAAATGTCTTTACGATTCTGGACATTTAAATTTCTGAATGTGGTAGCTGACTACTCTGTAAAGGTACGAAAACAGAAGTTGCCAGAAAAGCTCAGCAGGTCTGGCAGCATCTATGAAGAAAAGATCCGTTAACTTTTTGGGTCCGGTGACCCTTCCTCAGAATTCTGTAAAGGTGCGTGGTTTTCCTTCTCCCAAAAGTTCTGTACTGAGAGAATTGTCGGTGTTGAAATATAGCCACGTATTTCTGACAGTTAACGTAAAGGAAAATCAAGCTATTTTACAAGTACATTAATCTCCTGTCAGAGATGTGGAAGTCTCTTGTTACTCAGGGGGAAGAAGGAGCAGGAAATCCTCACCTCTGGCTGTTCAGTGATTTCAGTTCAAAAACACTGATAATTTAGGACACAGACTACAATGTGTTCAGAATGTCTAGTTACAGATTTGCCATATTCTTGCTGTCAATTGTGCAATATTGTATGATTGGTACAATCTATCTTCCACATTTGCATCCTGGCAAGATGTGTATTTAAAATAAAGGTGTGTGCACAGTTATGATTGTGTGACAGTAACAGCTCCTGTATTAAGCATGATAGCAAATATTGAAATACGTTTATCTTGCAGATCAGATTTCGTAGTGTCTTCATGATAGCATATCAGGTCCACAATGCTTTAAGTGCCAGCTGCAAACACTCAAAACAAATCCATTTTGAAATTTTACTTTGAAAGGTTCTGGGAGCAAAGAAGACAGTCCGCCACCTTTACCAGAACGAACTCCTGAATCTTTTGTTGTGGCTAATGAATCTGGTAAGATTTCTCTATTCCTTTTTAATTAGTATGGAGTTGCTCAAATCATTTGTTCAAGTCCTGTGGACACTGATTGAATTATGTTTGTTTCATGGATCCACTAAGCCACCATTAGTGACTGGACAGAATAACTTTAATAAATACTGCAAATGGGGACAGGAGCAGAATTATCTAAATTCTGCTTGGTAGATTGATTGTTATGAATGTTTAGGTAGCCCCAAGTCTCTGAGTCAAGCTTTTAAAACAAAAATTAGGCAAGAGTAATTTTGAACTTGGAAGTGATTTTTTTTCTATCAGAAGTCTGTACAAAATTTTGAAAATTGAACTGTGTAAACCAGTTACAGTCTAAGTTCACATTGCTGATACTTGACACTGATATAATGAGGAGTTTTGACACTGGCATTTGTTGATCTGAAGTGTTTAACATCTGCCACTGAGTAGTGCTGTGCAACAGTGTAATATTTCATGATGTTCAGGCATATATTTGTACATTTTGACACCTAGTGGCACTATTCTGGAAATGAGTAGAGCCATAATATTCACCAAAGTCAAAAATAATTGCTACCATAACATTTAATTGTCAGTCAGAAACCACTTGGTACCTCATTGGAGTGTTTGGTCATTTGTTTTCTTCCTTTTATATGAGAAAAAGTGTAGCCTTTTTCGGAATTCTTTGTTTGTATAGAAACAATTTGCTGTGATTTTTAGATGCTGAATTGTGGATACCGCCTGTGACCCACTAATGAGGCAGTATGTTACTTCCCCCAAGGACCTACATTTGTCCAGTTCTTCCTTATTTACATCCAGCTTTTATTTCCTTTATTCTTTCATGGGATATGGACATCTCTGACCAGCATTAGTTGACCACCCTTAATTGCTGTTGAACTGAGTGGCTTTCGTAGAGCACTTGAGTGGACCTTGTTACTGTGGAGTCACATGTAGGACAGGCCAGATCAGAATGGCAAAATTCTTTCCCTAAAGGACATTGTCTCACAAACCTATTTGGTTCACAATTAGTGATAGTTTCATGATCACCATTGCTGAGACTAGTCTACAATTCCAGTTTTATTTTAATAACTTAAATTCCACCAACTATTAAAGTTGGATTTTATCCCATGTTCCCAGACCGTTAGACCACTACTACACTCTCCAACCATAGAGAAGACAGGAACTATTTTCTTTGGCCTTTGGAAAGGAATGAAATTGGCAGCCATTTCACTCAATGAACCAGATTTTGTTTACACCTCTGCACCTTGTTTGACCTCTGAAATTCTATCTCAAAATTGCAAAGAAGGACTGCATCCTCCTCAGCCCATCTGCTATTGAAACAGCTATCCATGCCTTTGTCACCTCAGTTTCTCCGGCTCCATTCTCTGAATTTGAGTTCGTTCAAAACTGTACTTATTCTGTATCAATGACTCATCACTGCTCTTCCTGCAACCTGGTTCCCTATAATGACTCCTGATCTCATATAATACTCATCCTCATGTCTAAAGCCATTACATTAGAGCAGTCAGTCTCTAATCTAATCTGTCCCTACCACTTCTCCTGAATTCAGTGCTTTTGACTGTGCAGAATTTATAATAAATATAACCAAAGCAAACACCTTGCAACTTTTTATAATATTCCTGTAAAACCATTCATAATGCAAACATATGAATTAGGACCAAAAGTAGGTCACTTGGCCTGTTGAGTCAGCTCTGGCGTTCAATAAGATCATGGCTAATATAACTTCACATTCCTGCTGACCCCTAACAACTACAGACAATCTATTTACCTCTTCTTCAAAAATTTTCAAGGACTCGAGTTCCTTTTCTCAAAAGGTAATGAAAGCAAAGACTCATGATTCTCATGAGGAAAAGTTCTATTTATCTGTCTTAAATGGGTGACCCTTTACTTTTAAACAGTGACCCTTAATTCTAGATATTCTGACGAGGACATGTTCTTTCCAAATAGACCTTGTCACAACCCCTCTGGATTTTGTAGGAGCAAATTATAGCAGATGCTGGAATCTGTACTGAAAACAAAAAATGCTGGAAATCACAGCATGTCAGGCAGCATCCATGGAGAGAGAGCAAGCTAATGTTTCAAGTCTCGACAACTCTTCTTCTGAGCTTTAAGTAAGGAGACCAATACCGTACATGGTTCGATGTGGTCCTACCAAAACCCTGCAAACTGAAGTAAAACTGATCTACTTCTGTAAACAATTCCTAGAATCCTGCAGTACAGAAGAGGGTCATTGCCTATTGAGTCTGCACTGACAAAAACTACTCTATATTCCACACTAGTTCCATTTTCCAGCACTTGGCCCATAGCCTTGAACATTATGACATTTCAAGTGCTCATCTAGCTACTTTTTACGGGTTGAGGTCTCCTGCCTCAACTAGCCTCCCAGGCAGTGTGTCCCAGATTCTCACCACACTCTGGGTGAAAGGAGGTTTCCTCAAAACCCCTCCATCTCCTGCCTTTCATCTTAAAATTACATATCCTTGTTATTGACCTTTCATCTATAGGGAACAGCTGTTTTCTATCCATCCTCTAGGCCCCTCATAATCTTACACATCAATGAGATTCTTTCTCGGCCTTCTCTTCAAGTTGTTTTCTTTAGAGCACTTGTCCAGCCTGTCTCCAGTTGAAATGCTCCATCCCAGTCAACATTCTGTTGAATCTCTAATGTGAAGATTAGTTGAAAGCCAGATGACTGGGAACCATTTAAGAACGAGCGGAGGGTAGCTTTTTCAAAATAAAAGCAATAAGGGGTAGAAGATGAAAGCAAGCTAGCTAGTAATATGAAAGAAGATTGCAAGAGATTTTTCTTTTAAGATGCCTAAAAGGTAAGGGAGAGGCACAAGTTGGACCACTGGAAAATGAGGCTGGAGAAATAGTAATGGAATACAAATGCAGGCAGATGGGACTAGCTTAGTTTGGGAAACTTGGTCGGTATGGAATAGTTGGATCCAAGGGTCTATTTCTGTGCTGCATGGCTGTATCTCCTCTACACCCCTGCTAGTGCAATCACATCCTTCCTATAGTGTGGTGACCAGAATTGCACACAGTACTCCAGCTCTGGCCTAACCAAAGTTCTGTATTGCTTCAATATAGCCTGCTTGCTGATATAAGCATGTGTCCCATATGTCTCCTTTCTTATCCTATTAACCTATCCTGCTGCCTTCACGGATCTGTGAACAAACACTCCAAGATCCCTCTGTTCCTCTGAGCTTCCTAGTGACCTGCCATTTGAGTACACCCTTTGTGTTACTTCTTCCAGACTTATCAGGGTTAAATTCCATGTGCCACTGATCTGCTGATCCAACCAATCCGTTTATATCCTTCTGCAACATAAGACCACCTTCCTCACTGTCAATCACCCAGCCAATCTTTGTCTCATCCGCAAACTTACTTAACATCAACCCTGCCTTTTCTTCTACATACTTTATATATGTTATGAACAGAAAGGGACCCAACACTGATCTATATGGTACACTACTGGACACCAGCCTCCAGTTAGACTAGTAGCCTTCTACTGCCACCCTTTGTCTCCTATCACTAAGCCAGCTTGGATCAACTTGCCAAGTTACCCTATATCCAGTGTGCTTTTGCCAGTAAATGGAGATTGATTCTTTACTTCAGAATTTTCTCCAATACTTCCCTTATCACTGAGAGCCTCGCTGGTCTGTAATTCCCTGGTTTATCCATTCCACCCATGAAAATTGAAACCACATCAGTTGTCCTCCAGTCTGTAACAAATGTGAACATGAGTATGCTATTGAGCCCCTCCAACTTGCTCTGCCATTCAATAGGATCATGGTTGATCCAACATTCCTCATATCTCCTTTTCTGTGTTTTCTCTGTGACCCTGAATTCCCCTACTAATCCGGAATCTATCTATCCATCTCAGCCTCATATATTACTTTAAGGGAGGCAATGGCCCAGTCGTATTCTCACTGGCTTGTTAATCCAGAGACCCAGGTAATGTTCAGGGGACTTGGCTTCAAATCCTGTCATGGCGGATGGTGGAATTTGAATTCAATACAGATCTGGAATTAAGAGTCTAATGATGACCATGACCACTGCTGATTGTCAGAAAAAAACATAATTCACTAATATCCCTTGGGGAAGGAAACTCATTCTTGCTCTTGACTCTTAACTGCCCTCTAGGCAGTGAGAGATGGGCAATAAATGCTGGCGTAGCCAATGATGCCCTCATCCTGTGAGTGAATTTTTTAAAAAGTCTCTGCTCCCACAGCTCTCTGTGGCAAGGAGTTCCAAAGACTGCAAGCCCTCTGAAGAAATTCCTCTTCAGCTAAGTCAAATGTACAGTCTAAGTGGGTTAGCCTTGGGAAATGCAGGGTTACAGGGATGGCCTGCTTCCACACTGTAGGGATTCTGTAATTAAATTGTTACCCCTTTATTCTGAGACTATGCCCTCTGATCGTAGACTGTCCCTCTTGAGCTGAAATTTCCTCCCTTGTCTTCCACAGCAGCCTGAGATAAATCCATCTGGACTTGGGAATTTGTCTACTTTTAAGCTCACCGAAACCTCCAATTCCTCTTCATTTCCACGTGTCAATTTGTTCAAGAACCTGTCAGTCCCTCTTCTTGAATTTTGTACCTACATCCTCCTTCAAAGTGAAGACAGATGTGAAGTACTTGTTTAACACCTACCAATGTCATCTGGCTCCACAAACGGATTGCCACCTTGGTTCCTAGTGGGACCTACTCTTTCCCTTGTTATCCTCTTCCCCTTGATATTCTTGCAGAACATAGATTCTCCCTAATTTTACCCACTGCTGGTTTTGCATGCCCTCTCTATACTCTGCTATTTGCTTTCCTAACTTCCCCACTGCACTTTCCAAGCCCCACTCGGGCCTCTGCTGATTTGCCCCCTTTGAACCTGTTCAGAGCCAGCCTTCTTATCCAGTCCTGAATATTCCTAAACATCCACAGTTCTCTGGACCTGTTGCTCCTACGTTCCATCCTAAGAAGGACATGTTGGGCCTGTACTCTTGCCAATTCCATTTTTAAAGACTCCCCACTATTCTGCTGTAGACTTACCCAAAAGTAGCCATTCCCAGTCTACCCTGGCCAAATCTTATAAAATATATTTTCCTCAAACCAAAATACTTTTCTGTAGGCTACTACTTCCTTTTCTGTAACAAACGTTAGAACGTATGGTATTGTGGTTGCTATATAGTGTCCCCTGTTGAACCTTCTACATGTTGATATAAAAAGCGCTCATGAATACATTTAAGAAATCTGACTCTTCTAAATCCTTTTCACTATGACTACCCAAACTAATGTTGGAGAAGTTGAAATCCCTAAAATAACCAGCCTATTATTGATTTTTAACACACCTCACTCTACGTATCTGTTCCTCTATTGTCTAGTCACTGGGGATCTATAAATAGACTTCGAGCAGTGTGACTGCCCCTTTTTTATATTCCTATGCTGTATCCATAAAGCCTAGTTTGACAAACTTTTCAAGATATTGTTCCCCCTTAGTGCAGTAACTGACTCCTTAATAATATGGTGCCACCTCCCTTCCCCTGTCTGAAGATCCTATAATGCAGAATTTTGATTTGCCAGTACTGCCCATCCCTAAACCAGGTCTCTCTGATTGAAACAACATTGCAATTCCAAGTGTCCATCTACACCTAGGACTCATCTGTCTCGCCTGTAAAACTATGAGCATTGAAGTAGCAACGTCCAGCTTAACTTTGAGACTCAATATGACTAAATTTAATAAACCTTGGTTTCCTTCTCTTCTGTCTTACTTATCCCTGATACTTCTCATTTAATCTCTTTGTAATCTCACAAATCGGGCCTTGGCCTTGCCTGCACCTATCTGTGAAAGTAGTCTGGAAAAGTCAGGAAAAAACGAAAAACCTTCCTCCCTGACTTCACCTAATTCTCTCACTTGCCAGTCTGCCACATTCCACTCTGCAGGTTGCATTCTGTGCTGGTTTCACTGATACCTCCTTGTAATAAATGGTGACTCTATTAGTTTTCCTAATCAACTTGCTGTAAGTGCATACCAGCTTTTAAAACCAGAACACGCAGATCCCTCCAAGTCTCTGAACTCTGCATTCCCTTTCCATTTAGGTAATGTACTTTTTTATTCCTGCCAACATGGAGAATTTTGCATTTTTCCCACATCATGCTCAATTTGTCAGATCTTTACTTATTTACTAAATGTAATTTTGTGGTAACTTTTGGAAATATAAGAACAATACCTTTACCAGTTCCCCTTTATTCACAGCACATCTTAATTCCTCAAATAACTCCAATAACCTATTAAATATAATTTCCTTTTCATAAGTGTTGACTGTCTGTTTGCCTTAAACTGTCTTCAAAGTGCCATATAGTAATGCCTTTTATCATAACTTCTGACACTTTGCCTGTGTCAGAAGTAAATTGACTCCTGTAGGTGTCGTCTTTCTGTCTCTTCTCCCATCCCCTTGATTAAAGGAGTTAGATTTGGTACTTTCCAGTCTAATGTAACCTTCCCTGATACTAGAGAATTTTGGAAAATTAAAATGAATGCATCAACTATCGCATTGACTACTTCTTTTTAGACCCTAGGATTCATTTTATCATGTGAAGGAAATGTTCTTTGTAAACTAATTTTAAAGTACATTAATAATAGATTGAAGTATTAAGTAGAATATTAACTATTTCAGAATTTGGTTGAAAGAAACAAGTTGACTAAATGCCAATGCTTGATCTTACTACCTGATCAGCTGTATCTTATCCCTGCATCATTACCTTAATTTTCTGAAAATTTATTATTTCATCTGTTTTATGGCCAAATCACTACTGTGTGTAGTAAAGCAACTCTAATGATGAACCTTTTTGAAACAAAAGTTACCACATTTTTCCACTTTGAAAGTCATCTCCTTTTATCCTCTACCTTTTTTGGCTTTGTCCTTGTATTATGTCTGTTCACTATTACATTCCACTTAATCCAATGAGCTGTTATCTTTGTTATAAATAGCTTAACAAATGCACTTAGAATATGATTAGCAAGTTTTCTGGTCTGTGATTTTTAGAAAACAATTGATTTTTCAGGTGTGACTTGTTTTAAAAGCAGACTGTGGACTGATTTTTGCCTGTGTTAATTTTTGTTAATTATGTGCGGTTGGCTCAGTCATTGGTGTCCTTACTTCCATGTGAGAAGCTCCGTGTTTAATCACATAATTAAGGCTCTTGATTCAATGCAGGATTGAGAGAGTGCAGTATTGGAGATACAATTTTTAGATGAAGCATGCCTGTCACAATTTGCTCAGTTGTTGTGTAATGGAACTCCTCATCTCAGAATCCATTGTTTCAGCTCCAAAATAGGTCATTAATAGCAGTATATTTACAAAAATAAAGCCTCCATTTCTCAGCACAAATATTTTCCCTTTAAAGTTGATCATTGGTTAAATTTTTCACAGTTTTAACTCTGGTACATATTCTGATACTTCTGTGGCAAATTAATGCTTGTGATATGGTTACCAACTATTGAGTCAGTTGAATACTGGTTATGAAATAATTTTTGTCATTATGTTAACTATCAGTTGTAGAATACATCAAATTTATAATAGTTACACAAGTTCTGTAAGTGGTTGTTTTTAGTGCCTATTATATTATCACTCAGGAATTTTTAATTAAATACTTCCTAATTTTTAAGATATTAAAAAGTGTGTTGGAGTGAGAAATTTGGTAAATTTTCATTTTATCAGTCATCATATTTTTTAATATTTTTCTCTAGACTTCCCTTTTCGGCCTTCTCATGTTGGGAAGTCTGCGGAATGGAGTGGTTTTCCACATCCACAGACAATTGAGCAAGTAAAGATGGTGAGGAGTAAGGTAATGGTTTTACACTGCAGTGTAATGGCATAGTTAATTAACTTTAAAATGTTAATTTGCTAAGATGGTTGGACCTTTGAAACTATTTTAATATTTTTTCTTCTTTCAAAACAGAGCCTGAAAAATCCTCGAAGTTCAAGAACAAGTGAGCAATCACTAATAAATATTTTAAATTAAATCTTTTTCTCACTGCTTTGTGTCAAAGCTAATAATCTGTACTCATTGAACTGAAAGTTAAATTATTGCCTTCCCAATATTTGATTTTTCTAATGCAGATAGCATCAATCTTTTCAATTTATTTTGCTCATCATAGCTAGCTACAAATTTATCAAAGTCTTAAATTCTGTGGACTTCCAGGAACATAGGAATTTCTGAATGAGAAACAGCCATGCTCTCTAGTTTGCCTTCAACCATTCTTAAGGTCACGTGATATGACAGTAGTAGCGATGCAGACTAATCATAGAAGTCAGTCTCCATCAATTAGTCTTCAGCTTGGCATGTCCATCATGTAGCATCCTGCAGGTCATCCCTGACCAGCCGTATAACTACTATTGTTATAAAAGCAGTTCAAAAGCTTGATATTCAGTGGTGAGTGAGTGATTTACCTCCTGATTCCCCAAAGTCTTTTTACCATCTATAAGGCATAAGTCAGGAATGTGCTGGAACGATTCCCATTTGCCTGGATGAGTGCAACTCCAAGAATGCTTGAACTCAACACCATTTAGAATAAAGTCCTTTGATTTCCTTCACTTTAAAAATGCACTCCCTTCTCCAATGGTGCACCATAGTTGCAGGATGTCCACAAGATTCACTGCAGCAACTCTTCAATACTTAATAAAGAGCACCTGCCAGATCTGAGGCCTGTACCATCTAGAAAGAGAAGGGCAGAAGGTGAATGGGGCCAGCACCACCTACACGTTTTCTTCCAAGTTAGATATTATCTTAACTCAAACAAACCTTTCATGTGTCAATCCTAGATTTGTGTACCTACCAGCTCTGTGTGAATGTACTTTGATTAGACAGACAGCAATAGTTCAAGGAGTCAACTCGCTTCAACCTCTTGGGCAATTAGGAATGTAAAATCAATGCTGGCCCTGCCAGTAACACTATATCTTTGAATTTTAAAAAAAAAAGTCAAAATAGGCTCCTCTGAAAGGTGAGGAAAGCACCATAGTGGAAAGTGTTAGAAACGTCAAGCCCAAATTCGATTGTTCCTCCCAAGCGAGGTATTCTGCTAAATGCAATGTCTTGACATTTTCTACCTTTAACGTAGAGCTTAGAACTGTACGGCACATGAATGGGTCCTTCAGCCAGCAATGTTGTGCTGAACGTGATGCCTAATTAAACTAATCCCTTCTGCCTGCCCTTGGTCCATGTCCCTTCGTTTCTTGCATATTCGTGTGCTTATATAAAAGTCCCTTCAATGCTCCTCCTGTATCTGTTTCCACCACCACTCCTGGCAGCATATTCCAGACTCCTACCTCTGTTTTTTAAAAAAAAATGCCCCTCGCATCTCCTTTTGAACTTCCCCCTCTCGTCTTACATACATGCATTCTTATGGATATATTGCATGAATATATTGTAGATAATACACAGTGGCTAGGGCGCTCTCCTAGTTGAACTAATTTGTTTGACTGGCTTAAATTTATAATTGTAGAGACAGATTATATTACCTTTTACATGAACGCCAACTTTCCACTTATGGACAATTATTTTTCTGCGTTTAAGCACCTTTGACCACTTAAATAATAGCTAGTTTAGTGCTTCATGATTTGTTCAGTTATGCTCATGAAACAGTCTTTCTCAACTACTAGAACTTTGCTTTATGATTTGCTGAAAATTCTGCGTGCTAGCTTTCATCACAGAATATTAAAGAATGTTTCAGCAGTGTGTCCTCCATGTTAACAGTTCACTGAAATTGTCCATCCAGGAGAGTGAAAATGAGCCATGTTTTGTGCTTGTCCAAAAGCCCGAGCAGAAAATTGATCAAACACGTATCCCTTCATTTTCCCTTCTTTTTGAAACACAACTGCACTTTAAAGGTTTTCAACAATGTAGTTAAAAAATAAATCAGTTAAGCGGCAAACTGATCAGGTGCATAAGCTTTACAAACTGCCTGTAGTTCTGTATATAAAATTAAATTGATTTGTCAGTAGTATGAAATTATAGAACTATTCAGAATATCCATTTAATTTCCAAATCATGAAAATATGAATGTTATCCTACTAAAATTCGTTTTACTTTGAGCCATTGGCCACCATGATGAACTGTTCATTACAATTTTTCTTTGCATTGTGGTCTCTTCATCATTCTTGTTCCCAGTTCAATTTAGCATATATTAGTTGTAGCTGACATATTTGCCCATGCTACGTACCAGGTGTGAAATAATTTGCAATTTATAGTTCTACTCGCACAGTATTAAGTAAGCATGATCCTTGATAAAAATCATAAGACTTGGGAATAGAAATAGGATATTTGCCTGATTGAGTCTAAGTTCGGTCTGCTGTCCATTGAAATTATGGCTGATCTGATAATCCTCAGCTGAATTTTCTTGCTTTATTCCCCTGATCCTTGATTCACTGATGAAAAGATTCTTCATTTCTTTCCACCTGAGCACTGACCCGCAAACACTTGGAAACCACCCCACTCACACACATCTGCCCTCCTCCACTCATACTGTCCACCATCCCCACCCATGCACTCGGACAATTGCACGCACACATATTTAATTTATAGCCCTCTATACAGTTCTACTTATTCAATTCACCAGGATACTAGTTCCAACATGATATGAGTGAAGCCTGTCCCATTGGTACGGTTCCTTTCTACCCCAAACTGTGCCAGCGCACCATGAAAAGCAACCCATTCTTCCTACAAAAATCTTTGAGCTATATGTTTAATTCTTTGAGTTCATTTAACCCACATCAGTTTGTATGTGGCACAGGCAGTAATTCTGAGATTACTAACTTGGTTGTTTAGCTTTTTGGCTCCTGAATGTTTAAAATCTTTCAGCAGAACCTCATTTTTAGTCCTATCAATGTCTTTGCACCAGTGTGAATGATGACACCTGGATCCCCCTCTCCAGCTCAAAAGTTCCACTCCAGCCCCAAGAAGATGTCCTTAAATCCAGCGCCAGGTAGACAACATAGCCTTCGAGACACATGTTCATAGCTGTAAAGAACAATATCTAGCCCCCTAACTGTACCGTCCCCTGTCACTAACAATTCCCATCTCCTTCCACCACCTGAATGGCACATTCCACCACCTCAATGTCACCACAGTGACATGACGTGTTTGCTGATCCTCCCTGTCGTCCCCACAACTGTTGGGATGGTTACGGAGACGTGTGCTCCTTGAGAGCTGCCTGTTTGACCCCATACTTGCCTTCCTGCAATCACACTGTCCTATCCTTGGTTATTTGACTATGTTTGTATTACCTAAATGTCCCCATCTTGACGTGGTGCAAATGTCTGCACTTCAGACTTCACCTCGTTGACTCTGATCCAAAGTTGCTTGAGTTGCTAATGCTTGTTATTGATGTGTTCACTGGGGATCACTTTGTTCGTCATTGCAGATACTGCAACTGCAGTGCATCACATGGCTTACCATCTCTGTCATATTTTAATTAAGGTCAGAAATCACACGACATGAGGTTGTAGTCCAACAGGTTTATTTGAAAACACAAGCCTTCGGAGCCTTGCTCCTCATTCACCTGAAGAAGGAGCGAGGCTCCAAAAGCTTGTGATTTCAAATAAACCTGTTGGACTATAAGCTGGTGTTATGATTTCTGACCTTGTCCACCAGTCCAACACCAGCATCTCCACATGATATTTTGTTTAAAATATTAATTAATCACTTTATCTATGCTTTTTACATTTGAATACACTTCACTTGTAAGGTTCAAAAGAAAATGATATTGGTTTTCTACCTATTGAGCAATTTATAAGAGAGGAGAAAAGACGATAGATGTAAACACAAATTGAAGACCTTGCTTTTACTTACAAGACTAGAAATGCTCACCAATCGTAATCTGTTGCTTTGTTTAGACAGAAGGGCTAAACATCACTTTCCTTTGAATTAATTTTTGCTGTTTCTTTTAAAGGCAGCTGCACCAGTGGAGCCCTTGAAAATAAACTTGCTCAAATCACACAACAACAGAATCTAAACTCCAGATTTCACTTTAATGCCAGCTACAAAATAAAATTAAGTTTGCACAGATTAAAGATTCAAATACATTTCCTATCCAAGAAATGTCATAATGCAACTTTCTCTGCCACCTGGAGAACAAATGCTAAATAGAAAGCTGAGATGCAACAAAAGAGAATCAAATGGATCTGGGCCAAAAAGTTAGAAATGGGAGTGTTTGAACTATTGGTGTGATGAGAGAAATGTTGAGAGTGGAAAGAGATGTTGATAGAAATAAAGATAGCAAAGTTAACCAATGAAGGTTAGTCTCCTTTACACGTAAATTTAACCTTGGGAATTGGCAGCACTACATTGAAGTAACTTCCAGCACTTCCCACTGACAGACCTCTGCCAATCAGATCAGTACTATACCACGTTAGAGAAGGTATCAGTAGTAACTATGCTTTGTAAGATTTTAAAATTAATAATTTTACTGCGACAAATTTGTTCTTCGGCCGTCCTCAACATAATGCTAGAGATCCGGAAGTTACTGTAACTTTGGATGCAGTTCTTGTTCATATTCATAAGTGTTATATAGATTGGTTGTGAACCTCAATGGAAGGTTTTTCGGTAAATTGTATACTACTGTACTGTTGTTTGAAGTACTTTATCAACTGCACCCATTTTGAACTTGAGATTTGATTTTTGTGTGAGAAATTAATAATTGGATTTATTTCATTATCCACACATTTTCTTTCAGATAAACCTGAAACACAGGATAGTGGGAGGCTATTAGCTGATTCAGAATTAGTTACTACAGCAAAGGGTGAGGTAGACCAAACCTCGGAAACAAATACAAAACAAAGAGAACGTGGTTCAGATTTAGGTGAGTGTGTAATTTTTATTTGCTGCCCCTCTAAACTTGGATTGAGTAATCATATAAGTTGTAAATTCATTAAATTTGTACCTGCAATGTTGAGACTTTATTTATCTTGCGTTGGCTGTTAATTTAAGCATGTCCCTGCTTGCAACCACCCCTCCCCCAACCCCCAAACAAAATGATCATGTACAAAGATATTATTCTGGAACTATTTGAGAAATGGTTACTTTTTGCCTTAGTAAGTTTGAATTAGTCACCGTCCTTGTTAGGGCAGTTACATGAGCAGCTTCCAGAATGTCATCTCTTCAGTAGTAGACTGGAGTTGGACAAGTTGGGTTGTAGGAACTGGGCCTCTTTCTTTCCTGCACAGAGGGAAAAATAATGCCTTTTTCTATGCCCGTCCAGCTAAGGTGAGGACCTACTCTAAGAAATCATAGACCTAAACCCACAATTAACCACCCCTTGTTTAACACATTGTTGCTTAATATTATTGGACTATCATAGCACTCCAGTGCATTTCTGCCAGAAATTAAGTTAATGAAAGACTCTTTACGACTTAGCAACTTGTCTAAAAGTAAGTTGAAATTTTTAAACTTAATTACTTAGTAGAAATTAAAAACCTGTCTAAACATTTGTTACAACTTTAAATATATCACATTCTTAACCAACTATAATGTTTTTAAGTTTCACAGCCATTTGAAAGTAATTTGATCTGTAAATGTGTAAAACATACGCAACTGAGAATTGATTGGCATAGTGAATTTCAACATTGTGCCTTCATCTTATGGAATTGCCAGACTGATGGATCTCTGGCTACAAGGTTAAAGTGAGTTTGCACAGTCTCAATCCAGTTGCAAGTAATACTAATTTACAACATGAAACAACTCAGTTTGTTCAATATGCTCAGATTGCAATTCTATTGATTTGATTTTCCTTTGCTTGCTTAGACTAATGTGGAAGGAAATGATATTGGAATAGTTCTTTATACTGCATGCAACTTTTTATAATTTTGACTGGCGTATTTAATGTTGTCACTATGAAAGGAACTGTAAGATGTTTCACTACCAATACTAACCATGTTGATCACCAACTCCTCCTTTTCTCCACACCCCCTTCCTCCAAGCCATACTTTTGTTTATTTGTTAAATGTGTATGTAGAATTAGGGTTTGCTGTTATCCGCAATGGTGGAAGTAGAATCACCAGGAAATTAATCTGTGCTTTGTGCCATTTTGATCTGTTTGTGTACAAGGCTGTTCTGGATTATTTATGCCTTTGGAGTGCATTAAAGATGTAAAATGAGTAATGCAAATTTTGTCTGATTCCAGGAGTACTGGGTCAAGAGTAAAATAATATCATAAGTTGGAAAGGAGATTTCTACATGATAGACCTGGTATATGGCTTAAGATATAACATTCTTCCCATTTTCTCCATCCTTAAATGCAAATCAATCCAACTACAACATGGAAATGTCTGATAGATTAACACAGTAATGCTAAGTGAGTCAAAGGATGTAAATAATTTTTTATAGCTGATTCAGACAGAGAGTGCCTTACTACTTCGATAATGAAGAAACTATAGTGCGAATGAAAAGTGATTTGGCTTTTTGAATACAAAGTACTGTTTGATTTTTTTAATTCAATTTTTAAGTGAAAGCTATTGTGTATGTGAACATACACAATACGTTATTGATCCGCTGCTCTTAGAATCAGAAAAGCGCAAAGTTTGGACAAACAGCGCATTCAACGTGCATCAGTTGGGCTGCTTAGCGACATCTTGTTAACAGCATATATCTTGGTGTGAGTCTTTCCTGGCTGTTAAACACATTCTAATCTGCTTGATCAAGTCCATCATTGTTTCAGACCCCTGAGATTTACTGTGTTATATCTGCCTTTGTACTCAGTCTGGAGAAGACTGATGGATTGAAAATCCAAGCACAGTTAAGAAGGTCAAGAACTAGCTCTTCCTCAGACATTTAGATAGTTAAAAGATGTTGTAAAGATTATATTCTTGACTCTTCCCCCAAAATTGTTGGTGTAAATTAACTTTAGACCTTGTTTTTGGATGTTAGAACTTACTGAGGCCAACTGTCAACTCTTAATAGATGATTTTGGCATTCTGTTTTTAAAAGGGAAAGTTGTCTTAAATCTTCTTTAACCGTTAAGTGGATTATAGCAAATCCTAATTTGCATGTGGAGTTTTAATTCAAAAGACACTACTTAATATAGCACATGCTCATGTACATTTTTGTAGCTAATTTTTCAAGCTAAATTGTAACTGATTAAACTTCCTCATTGTGTTGCCATTAAACATGGGGTTTCCTTGCAAAAATTAGTCATATTGAAAGCTGAATTATTAGTTTGTATTGTTATTATGGTGCCATTAAAACGGAAAGATGGTTGTTGTCGATCAACATGCCAAGCACTTTCTTTTTGTGTGTTTTTTTTTTCCCCTCTGCTATCTGTAAAAGTTGCTCGCTTCATGCACTTTGATTTTAGAGTAGTTCAAATCTCATTCGTGAGTTTCTGAACCACACCGATAGTAGAAACTGATTTCACTCCAGATAGACTTGTAGTGGAGACAAATAAAGCACCACGCTATTGCTTAAGTATATTGGATAATGTTTATTTGTGCTGACAGGATGTTGGGTCTTACTGTCAGTGAGACTTGTATTGACTGAACTTGTAGTATTTTACTTAGAAAATACAGTAATGAAAACTTAGCCAAACTCGTCGTCACCCTCGCCCTCAACAACTTCTCTTTCAATTCCTCCCACTTCCTACAGATAAAGGGGTTGGCCATGGGTACCCGCATGGGCCCAAGCTATGCCTGCCTCTTTGTACGTTACGTGGAACAATCCCTCTTCCGTACCTACACCGGCCCTAAACCCCACCTCTTCCTCCGTTACATTGATGACTGTATCGGCGCCGCCTCATGCTCCCACGAGGAGCTCGAACAGTTCATCCACTTCACCAACGGCTTCCACCCCAGTCTTAAGTTCACCTGGACCATCTCTAATACCTCTCTCTCCTTCCTGGACCTCTCTGTCTCCATCTCCAGCAACCACCTAGAAACCAATATCCATTTCAAGCACACCGACTCCCACAGATACCTAGAATACACCACCTCTCACCCACCTTCCTGCAAAAATGCCATCCCCTATTCCCAATTCCTTCGCCTCCGCCGCATCTGCTCCCAGGATGAGGCATTCCACTCCCGTACATCTCAGTTGTCCTCGTTTTTCAAGGACCACAACTTCCCCCTCCTCTGCCTCAGTGGTCGAGAACGCCCTTCACCGTGTCTCCCGCATTTCCTGCAACTCATCCCTCACACCCCATCCCCACAATAACAACCAAAAAAGAATCCCCCTCGTCCTCCCGTACCACCCCACCAACCTCAGGATCCAACGTATCATCCTCCGACACTTTCGCCATCTGCAATCCGACCCCACCACCAAAGACATGTTTCCCTCCCCACCCTTTATCTGCTTTCCGGAGTGACCACTCTCTCCGTGACTCCCTTGTCCGCTCCACAATCCCCTCCCCTCCACACTCCCCTCCAGCCCCACCACACCCGGCACTTTTCCCTGCAACCACAAGAAGTGCTACACCTGCCCCCACACCACCTCCCTCACCCCCATCCCAGGCCCCAAGAAGACTTTCCACGTCAAGCAGATGTTCACCTGCACATCTGCTAATCTGGTATACTGCATCCGCTGTACCCATTGTGGCCTCCTCTACATCGGGGAAACCAAGCGGAGGCTTGGGGACCGCTTTGCAGAACACCTACGCTCGGTTCGCAACAAACAACTGCACCTCCCAGTCGCGAACCATTTCAACTCCCCCTCCCATTCCTCAGACGACATGCCCATCCTGGGCCTCCTGCAGTGCCACAACGATACCACCCGAAGGTTGCAGGAACAGCAACTCATATTCTGCTTGGGGACCCTGCAGCCCAATGGTATCAATGTGGATTTCACAAGCTTCAAAATCTCCCCTCCCCCTACCGCCTCCCAAAACCAGCCCAGCTTGTCCACGCCTCCCTAACCTGTTCTTCCTCCCACCTATCCCCTCCTCCCACCTCAAGCCGCACCCCCATTTCCTACCTCCTAACTTCATCCCGCCCCCATGACCTGTCTGTCCTCCCTGGACTGACCTATCTCCTCCCTGCCTCCCCACCTACACTCTCCTTTACTGGCTCCATCCCCGCCTCTTTGACCTGTCTGTTTCCTCTCCACCTATCTTCTCCTCTATCCATCTTCTATCTGCCTCCCCCTCTCTCCCTATTTATTTCAGAACCCCCTTCCCCTCCCCCACTTCTGATGAAGGGTCTAGGCCCGAAACGTCAGCCTTCCTGCTCCTATGATGCTGCTTGGCCTGCTGTGTTCATCCAGCTCTACACCTTGTTATCTCTAATGAAATTGTTAAGCATGTTCAACATTTTAAATTTAAAATCAAATTTTCAGAGATCTACATGATATGTAGATTGTCTCTAGTTCCTAACGATAGAAGAACTATATATCAAGTGGTAGATCACAAATTGTCGTGCTTGGAATCTGCTAAGACATACACACACACGTGCATATATGTAACTTTCTAGCTTGCCTTGTACTTCTCCCCTTACTAACTTTTTCTACTTTAATTAATATAACAGTCAAATTGAGTGTCTTCATGTACAAATATACTGGGAACACTCCATGTTTCCTGATCATGTCTTTTTGTAAGCATCTTGGTACTTTAATTCCTTTTCTGTTTGTTTTAGCAAAACATGGCTTTCATTTCTGTTTATTTTGCAAAGGATGTCCCAGAAAACCATGCATACATGCATGCAAGCATGCTTGTATCCTATTAACACTGTCACCTCAAATTGAAAGTGCTATGTTAGACTTAAACCAAACTTCATAAGTGACCTCCTCTTATCAGACAGTGGTTTCCTTTCGAAAATGAGCATGCTGAGAACTATCCTTGTATCCTGTCTCCAAAAATCAGGTAAGGACCTTCATTGTCAATGCCCCAAAACTGCATTATAAAATGTCTCGAGGTGAGTGACTTTGGGTAGAGGCAATAGAGAAATGAAAGTAAGATCTTTATAATCTTGCTTAAGCAGCTAGCATTTAACGATTTTGCCACTTCAGTTGAAAGTGGGGTTGGACTTGGAGAATAAAAGCCTTAAAGTAAAGTAAGTTAGTCTAAATTTTCAGTACTGAATTCTCTAAATAGCTTTTGTACAACAGGATAGATTTGTTTTGTAGCCTTAAACATTCAGAAGCAGGTGATGCTGTCCAAATTTCACCACCAAGACAAAAGTATGTTAACACTTCCATTTTTGGACACCCTTCACTTTTGCCCCCTCAGCAGGAGGCAAAATAAAATTTTGACTTTGTAGGATGCATCATGGGCTAACTTTTTATCAGAATAATTCAGCTTTAGAGACAATTCTTATCCTGCAAGCTAAACTGTTGTTGCTCAGGCAAAATAATGCATAGAATGCATTTTTCTGTTGTTCATCAGATATGGGTGTCATTGGCTAGGCCTCTTCTATTTTTCTGTATTAGTTATGGTTGCTTTTTTTAAAAGTTGATTTTTTTTTTTAAAAAATTAGAACCTCACCCTTTTTATAAAAAGAGCCTTTCAACATGTTATTTTCATTGTTTGCTGCCCACCCCCATCTGTATTAATTGATTTTGAACAATACTTAAGCTATAAATCTTTTATAGCTAACAGCTATGAAGAATTTATTAACTCCTAGCATGTCGGAAAACTGAAGAAGTCATTGATCCAAGATACCTTTGCAGTCTGGGTTCAGTAAATACAAGTCATTCCCAACCACATTTTAACATTTTTAGCACTTGTGAAAAAAAAAGTTAACCTTTGTGACATGCCTAGCCGATTCTAATGTTTGTTTTAAAAAGGAACATAGCTGTTGAAATTAAAATTTAATCAAACTCCCTTTCCTTCACCTGCCCCGATTTTTAATTTAATTCAGAATTGCGGCCAAATAAGACTCTTGTTGCTATAAATTGCTGTAGTTCGTGTAAGGTGGCAACACTTTAGGAACTCAATCATATACAAATAAATGTTAACCTATTCAATTTCATGGCAATGTGTGAATTTCTCACTTGTCATACTTTGAATTTGTAGATCCAAGCTCATCAAAAAAAAATTTTTCTAGCAACAAACTACCCTAGATCTAGTCCTGTGTAATGAGACAGGAATAATTAATGATCTCACAGTTAGGGATCCTCTCAGAAGGAGCAATCACAGTATGGTCGAATTTAAAATACAGATGGAGCGTGATAAGGTTAAATCCAGTACCTATGTCCTGTGCTTAAACAAAGGAGACTATGAAGGAATGAGGAATGAGGAAGGAGTTAGCTAAGGTAGAATGGGAGCAAAAACTTTATGGTGGGTCAATTGAGGAACAGTGGAGGACTTTCAAAACAATTTTTCACAGTGCTCAGCAGAAGTATATTCCAGTGATAAGGAAGAACTGTAGGAAAAGAGAGAGCCAGCCATGGATGTCTAAGGAAATAAAGGAAAGTATCAGATTGAAACAAAAACACATACAAAAAATCGAAGAGTAATGGGAAACTAGTAGACTGGGACATCTTTAAAGGCCAACAGAAAGCCACAAAAAAAGTTATAAAGAAAAGTAAGATAGATTGAGAGTAAACTAGCTCAGAATATAAAAACGGGCAGCAAAAGTTTCTATAAATATGTAAATCGTAAAAGAGTGGTAAAGGTAAACATTGGTCCTTCAGAGGATGAGAAGGCCAATTTGATAACTGGGAATGGGGAAATAGCAGAGACATTAAACAGTTATTTCGTGTCAGTCTTCACAGTGGAAGACACAAATAACATGTCGAAAACTGATGGCGAGAAAGTTATAGCAGGTGAGGACCTAGAAACTATCATTATCATTAAGGAGGCAGTGCTGGGCAAGCTAATGGGGCTAAAGGTAGACAAGTCTCCTGGCCCTGATGAAATGCATCCCAGGGTACTAAAAGAGGTGATGGGGGAAATAGCAAATGCACTAGTAATTATTTACCAAAATTCACTGGACTCGGGTGGTTCCCGCAGATTGGAAAACAGCCAATGTGATGCCACTGTTTAAAAAAGGAAGTAGACAAAAAACAGGTCACTATAGGCCAGTTAGCTTACCTTCGATAGTGGGGAAAATGCTTGAATCTATCACTAAGGAAGAAATAGCGAGACATCTGGATATAAATTGCCCCATTAGGAACACCCAGCATGGGTTCATGAAGGGTAGGTCATGTTTAACTAATTTGGTGGAATTCTTTGAGGACATTACTTGCGTGGTGGACAATGGGGAACCTGTGGATGTGGTGTATCTGGATTTCCAGAAAGCATTTGACAAGGTGCCACACCAAAGGCTGCTACATCAGATAAAGTTGCACAGTATGACAGGTAATGTATTGGCATGGATAGAGGATTGGTTGACCAGTAGAAAGCAAAGAGTAGGGGTAAATGGGTGTTTTTCTGGTTGGCGGTCAGTGGCTAGTGGTGTGCCTCAGGGATCAGTGTTGGGACCGCAATTGTTTACAGTTTACATAGATGATTTGGAGTTGGGGGACTAAGTGTGGTGTGTCAAAATTTGCAGTTGACACTAAGGTGAGTGGTAGAGCAAAGTGTGCAGAAGACAAAGTCTGCAGAGGGATATAGATAGTCTAAGTGAGTGGGCAGAGGTCTGGCAGATGGAGTACAATGTTGATAAGTGCGAGGTCATCCGTTTTGGTAGGAATAACAGCAAAATGGACTATGTTTTAAATGGTAAAAAATTGCAGCATGCTGCTGTGCAGAGGGACTTGGGTGTCCTTGTGCATGAATCGCTGAAGGTGGAATTGCAGGTGCAGCCGGTGATTAAAAAGGCAAATGGAATTTTGTCTGCCATTGCTCGAGGGATGGAGTTTACAAACAGGGAGGCTATGCTGCAGCTGTATAGGGTCCTGGTGAGGCCACACCTGGAGTGTACTGTGTGCAGTTTTGGTCTCCTTACTTGAGAAGGGATATACTCGCACTGGAGAGGGCGCAGAGGAGATTCACTCAGTTGATTCCAGAGTTGAGAGGGTTGGATTATGAGGAGAGACTGAGTAGACTGGGATTATACTCATTGGAATTCAGAAGAATGAGGGGAGATCTTATAGAAACATAGAAGATTACGAAGGGAATAGATAAGGTGGAGGCAGGGAGGTTGTTTCCGCCAGCAGGTGAAACTAGGACTAGAGGGCATCGCCTCAACATAAAAGGAAGCAGATGTAGGACTGAGGTCAGGAGGAATTTCTTCACCCAAAGGGTTGTGAATCTGTGGAATTCCCTGCCCAGTGAAGTGTTTGATGCTACCTCACAATGTTTTTAAGGCAAGGTGAGATAAATTTTTGAACAGTGAAGGAATTAAAGGTTATGGTGAGTGGGCGGGTAAGTGGAGCTGAGTCTCAAAAAGATCAGCCATGATCTTATTAAATGGTGGGGCAGGCTCGAGGTGCCAGATGGCCTACTCCTGCTCCTAGTTCTTATGTTCTTATGTTACAGTCTGCCTTTTGCTTTGCTGTTGCATTTGCATCAGCTTGGTAATTTTTCTTCTTTCTTTTCATTCCACTTTATTACATTTCCTTGCTTAAACTTGTTTTTCTTTATTTTCGTAATGTTTAATATTATTTTGATGGTTGAATGCCAGGGACGACAGAATGCAGAATCAGGCTAAATAAATCCATTATGATGTCCATAATTGTGCATAAATACACTTATAAAGTACCTTAAAAATTGTGTATTACAGAAGTAAATGGATAGTTAACCCAGTGTTTTGGTATCATTTATAGGACAGTGTTTAAAAAGTATAAATGACAGTGATGAGAAAGCCATTCAAGGCATTTATGAATAGTTAGTAAAAATGATGAAATAGAAAAAATGTTCACGAATGGGAATTTGGTCACATTTCAGAAATAGTTCACTATTTAGCATTTTTAAATACCTTTGCATGAACTTGTATTCTCAATTTCAAAAGAAACCTTATGAGTAAACTTTTACTTTTTTTTTAAACAAACATTAGTTATCTTATTGCATCTAATTTTGTTTTCTATTAAATCTTTCAAAAAGTTAATTATTTTTATTGGTTACCAAATTTTAATGTGACTTCATACAATCACTTTAGCTTTTCAAAATTTGTAGTCTCTTCTAATGATATGCTCATTTCTGTAGCAAATAGACCTGCAGTAGTTTACCTACAGAGCTGTTTTTATGTTTCTCCTGCATGTTCATTCTTTTGTGTGAACTCAAAATAGTGTTGGTAATCTATTTAACTGTAGAGAACATTGTGTCCAAATCCTTGATGTCCATATAAATACACTGCCAACAAAATGTAGCATTATATCATTCTCTTGCACCACTACCCTCAATCCCCTACTAGCGTTCAGCTGCAGGAGTGAATTGTAATGCTTTTACAATTTCTTGAAATCAGTTTTTGATATTGGTTAACAATCGAACGAACAACTTTGTTGGTTTGTTTGGTTCAGCAGTGCGTATTGGAGCAGTTTTTGTTTTGAATATCTATTTTCACAAGATTAATTTAATCATAAATCTTTGTGCAAAGTTTTGCTGTACTGACATGTTTAACAAGAATCAGTCCCATCAGTGCATTTCCCTTGTAACTTGAAGTGGCTTGTAAAAAGTCAATTGCATGTGGTTACATTGACAGACCTGGTGAGGTGGTGAGTACAGAGTTTATCTATTTTTTTTTAGAAAAAGTCAAGTATTGTTGACTTTATTTTTGGACTGAGAACTTTTGGCCTTTGAAATACAATTTTAAAACTATTGCCCTCATTCACAGCTTTTGCAGTGTCCCCTTTTGTTTGGAACCATTTTCCTTTCAAGACAAATTGTAGATCCCTATTTTTCTACCCACCCCAAACGAGTGTTTTGTCAATAAGAAGTGTGCGTATGCCTGTCTGATTATAAATTCAGCTCCACTGTTACATGATCTCTGTATTTGATCACTTGATGGATTCAGCGTTCACCTTTCACCCTGCGTGCCTGAAAGTGGATATGATGGAACTTCTAGGTCCTTACTTTCATGTTCATGAAACTGTTCGGTTGTGTGTCAAATGTAATGAATCCTCAATTGGGGTCCTAATCTTGGAAGTTATCAAATTGATAACTTTCATCTTCTACTCAGAATTAAAATTATTTTCGTACTATAGAATGTTATTGTATATGTGCATGTTGCATAATTGTGTTTTGCTCCCTGTAAACAAATACGTCTGTTTTAAAGCCTTGAGTTTACAAATTGCAAGTTTGCCTTCTTTTAATTTGCAGGATTCAATAATCGTTATACAAAACCGAAAGGGCCAAGAGATCCTCCTCCTGAGTGGACATGATGGAGCAGATATTCAAATAGACCGTAATACTGGAGTGTCTCCCTTCAAGTGCCACAAAAGGACTGAAAAGTAGAAAAATTATTCACACTCACTAAAAACTATCTATCTTTACTAACAAAAAAAAAAGCAAGAACAATTTAGATGACTTATCAGTTTCAAAATGGTACACAGTTTACATCTGTTGTAACTTGCTATAAACCTTCTTCCAAGGGTGTGGATTCCGGTGCTAAATATCTCTTTGCTGGGACCATTTTTACCTGCCTTATTTCACAGTTAAAGTATTAAGACTTTTTTTAAAGTATTACAGGCCTTATTTTTTGGGGGATTTTGTTACACTGCTTGTAGGATTGTATAGTAATATAGTAACTATAAATAGGTAGTCTGTGGACAACTATTCTCTGCTAACTTTCAGAAACTATTATGTGCATTACTCTTTTTTTTATATATGTACAGGGCAGGTAGGTATATAATTGACAATGTTGCAGGTATTAAATATTAACAGAAGATGTAAGAAATCTGTGCATGATCTAAACCTTGTGTACCATTTTTTTTGTAAATTATTTGCCCTGAAATTATTGAAAAATATTCTTTCAGGTGTTCTTAACTACTGGAAATAAGCAGGAAATTGCAGTTTAACAGGGGTTGAGATTGTAATAATACATTTTGTAAATTATAAGCAAAAGGATATTTTTATATTATATGCTGTTAATAACCAATCCCACTTTGATCTCTTGTTCATTTGGCCTTGAATTTAGTAAGTGCCTTCGAACAATATGCAATCCTGTTAACATCATGTAAGCATTTTGTTTGTGCTTTCGTGCATCGGGAATATGAGGACTATCAGTCTCACAATCCTGTATTTTACAATATTACCTGTCAGTAAAGGTCTTAAAACAAACTAGTTTGCTTTTTTGTGTTTTTAGATTGAAATGGACAAAATCATTTCTTATGTTTGAATAAGAAAATTTTTCATTACTTGTCACTGAACATGAACTAGTTTACTAACATGGAGATCATAAAAAGAAGTGGTATAGTGGTAACGTTGCTGGACGAGTAATCCACAAATCATGTTTTGGGGACATGAGTTTGACTGCCAGCTTGCAGCAGATGGCGAAATTTGAATTCAATAAAAATCTGGAATAAAGAGCTGACCTAATGTGCAACTCTGTAACCACTTTGAATTGTCATTGTTTAAAAAAAAAACTAGTTCACTGATGTTCTTTAAGAAATGAAATCTGCCATCTTTACCTGGTCTGGACTACATGCGACTTCAGAACCACAGCAATGTGGTTGACTCTTAACACCCAGATGGGGGCAGGCAATAAATGCTGCCCTCGCCAGCAACTCCCTATTCCTGTGAACAAGTTTTTAAAAAAAAAAAAACCCCGGAAGAGGCATACAATATTTTGTACAATTTACATTTTGTCAAGAAAATGAATACAAAGGGTCAAGAACAAACTAGAGCATTTTTTTTGATGCAACACAAGATGATTCACAACTAGTCATTGTTTTATTTCTGTGCCAGTCTAATTAATAGGTTTTGAATATACTTAGCTAATCGAACAGATGTTTGATTTTTGGTGAGTTAATCAATTGAACAAGTGTTCTTCAGTCAAGTGATGTTTCTTGAGGTGGGGTTTAACCCTTGGGGTAGGTTCAAGATCCTCCCTTTCCATATGTTAATTGGGTCTTGCCACCTTTGGCTGACATTATTTTAATATAGACTAATTGATCTTGGCCTTTGTGTGTAACTAATCTTGATAATAGAACAAATTACAGTAGTATGTTTCCTTTAAACTGATTTCAAACATATCTTAATGTAATTTGTATAAACTTTTTATCTGATTTTAAATACATTCTTTACAGCCATTTTGTGTTTACACTTAAAAATGTGAGAGAAGGCTTTAGATTAATCTTTAAACTCTCCACAATAACAGCTAATGAGTTTAAAGTCAGTCCTTATTGAATTAATTGTTGATTAATCAAATACATATATAAGGTGAAGCATAAAGCTGAGTGCATTATGTTTCTTGGATTGTATCACAATGGTTATGAAATATGTATCTTTTATTCCTAAAACATTCTAATTCTCAGGTTAAACGTAATTCTGTGAACAAAAGTTTATTGTTCAAAATTGCAGTGCTATGTATTTGTTTGAAAGAAGTCTTCAAAGAAGTTTTAGTCAAGCTTTTTAAAATAACCATTCATCTAAATTTAAGTCGAAGTTCACCATTTTAAAATCACCCGTTGCTGGCTTGCTTAACTCATTGTCTAAATGGCTTTCCTTTGGCTTTACTGGACAGAAAACTAAAAATGGTGTATTTCAAAAATTATTCAAAATTCCTTGTACTGAGAAAGGAAGAACAATTTGCTGTGTTTGAGGGAAATTAGGTGGTTTGCATGTTAATATAAATGGAATCAAGTAGATGGGTCCCATAGATGAGATGTATTCAAAGCAGGCACAAGGAGAGGTAGAAGAGTAGTATCTAGAGAGAAGTGTGTTTAGGGCTGGGAAAAGAGGAGCTTGATGGTTCAACATTGGTTTCTCGGTGAAAGAAGGGAAAGAAATAGAAGCAGCTGAGTGGATGGCCTTGAGATTATTGATCAAAAGGTATCCACAAGCTCTTCAAACGTATGGGAAGGAGGTAGAGATAGGAGAAGAGAGGGTACAATGAGAAAAAGAGGATGGGGGCAGAAGAGTTTTGCGGGGAGGAGGGGTTTGAGTGCAGGCAGGAAGAGATGGGATGGTGGTAACTTGTTTCAGGAGCAAAATAAAGCAATCTTAACTGATCAAGTGTATCTGGGAATCTGAACATAGGAATAACATGGGATGCCAAGTTTCCGAAAACAGGGGTTGGTAATTGAGCTAAAGCTGATGGTTTTGGTCTTAATAGCTCAATCCTGGTTCTAAAGTGAATAGGAGGGAACCAAGGATGAATCATAGCAGTGCATCATGGATGTGATGCTTTCTAATTTTCCTAATGAACCAATGATGAGTATAGGACACTACATATCTCAGTTTGCAGTATGAAATGTAGAAGCATTATGCATTCGATCAGAAAGTTTGTGGATGGTACAAAAATTGGAGTTATAAAAAGGAAAGTCTTAGATTACAGGTGGATATAGATGGGCTTGTCAGTGACAAATGGAATTCAATCTAGATAACTTGGAGCTGATGCATTTGGGCAGAACAAACAAAGTGATGGAAGACATGAATGTTAGGATTCTGGGAAGCACTGAGGATCAGAGGGATCTTGGTGTGCATGTCCACTTAAGGTAGCTGGACCAAGTAGATAGTGTTGAGAAGGCACAAGGGATACTTGCCTTGATTATCTTAAAAATTTTTCAAGAGTAGGGAGGTAATGCTGAAAATGTATAAAATGTTGGTTAGGCCACAGGTAGAGTATTATGCAGTTCAGAATCCCCATTATTGGAAGGATGTGATTGTGCTGGAGAGGGTGCGGAGGAGATTTACCAGGATGTTGCCTGAGTGGGAGAGTTTTAATTGTGATGATTGGATAGACTGGGGTTAATTTCCTTGGAACAGAGGAGACTTCGGGAGGGGATATGATTGTGATGTATATCATTGAGAGGCGTAGATAAGAAGAAACTCTTTCTCTTGGTGGAGGCATCAACAACCAAGGGATGGGAAGTTTAGATGGGATAAGGGGACAGTTTCTTTCACTGAAGAGTGGTGGAAATCTGGAACTCTACCTGCAAGGGTAATAGAGGTGGACATCCACAACATTTAAATAGCATTGAGATATGCACTTGTGATGCCAAAGCAATGGACCAAGTGCTGGTAAATGGGATTAGAATAGTTGGGTAGTTGTTCTGACTGGCACTGACTCAACAACCAAATGGTCTTTTTCTGTGCTGTTAACTTCTGACTATGACTAAACAGTGAAGAACTTAAAAAGGACAAGATTCAATTTGATGGAATCAGCAGGACAGATGAAAGAGGAAGTTCAATATGAAATCATTTATTTTGGCCAGAACATCGAAACAATACAAAATAAAAGCCATAATGCTAACGTTTGGATGAAGGACCACGGGGACCTAGGTGTTAGTGTAGAAATCATTCATTGGACTTGCAGGACAAGTTGAGTGGTTAATAAGGCTTATGGTATTCTAGGCTGAATTATTAGGGATATAGAGTACAACAATAAGAAGGTTCTGTTGAATTTGTACAAAAACACTTGCTTCAAAGTTTTGGCAAAGATCTGTAGCTCGGGTTGCGGATGAGGTTGTTGACTTGCTCGCCGAGCTGGCTTGTTTTTGATCAGACGTTATGGTGAGTACTGTCATTTCCGGTTTTGATCTGTATGGGTTTATATATGGGGTCTAATTCTATATGTTTGTTGATTTGAAGTGTGGGTGGTGAACCATGCCTCTAGGAATTCCTGTGTGTGTCTGTTTGGCTTGGGCTACTATGGTTACTTTGTCCCAGTTAACAACCCAAGCCAAACAGTAGACACGCACGGGAGTTCCTGGAGGCATAGTTCTCCACCCACACTTCAATCAACAAACATATAGAACGGCCTCAACGCTGGTAACGCGCCACTACTTAGGAAGGATGTGTAAGCAAAGTGACTAAACTATTAAAAAAAAAAAAAATTACAAGAATAGTTCTGCAGGCAAGGAACTTAAATTATGAAGATACATTGGAGATGTTCTGTCCTTTGATGAAAAGAAGGTTGGGAAGATTTGATCAAGGTATTCAAAATCATGTGGGTCTGGATTTAAAGTAATTTGGCGGGGCGGCGGGGGGAGAAAGTAGAGTAAAAGCAATGAGAAAAACAAATTTCCATGCCTTTTCATGATTAAGTTCTGGAATGGACTTCCTGAGACTCTGAAATGTTCAAATCTGAGTTACACTGTTATCTAAAAAAGAATATGCAGGGTTATGGGGTGAAAGTTGGAGAATAGAACTCTGAATTGCTCATATGGAGAGTTGGTACAGACATGAGCCGAATGGTGGCCTCCAGCACAGTAACAACTGATTCTTGTCAGTGATACTACAGAGGGTTCAGCAGAGATTTACCAGGACGTTGCTGGGTATGGAAGGTTTAAGTTATAAAAGCTGGGGATAGGCTGGGACTCTGTTCACTGGATCATAGGAGGCTGAGAGGTAACCTTAAGGTTAATAAAATCATGAGGGGTATAGATAGCATTAGTGGTAGGTGTCTTTTCCCTAGGATGAGGGAATTTCAAGACTCGGGGGCATTTTTTAAGGGGTGAGAAATCTTTTAAAAGATGAGGGGCAATTTTTTAACACAGAAGATGGTTCATGTGTGGAATGAACTTCCTGAGGAAGTGGTGGATGATTTGGATGGGTACATGAATAGGAAGGGTTTTGAGAGATATAAGACAGGAGCAGGTAGGATTAGTTTAGTTTGGGATTATGGTCCGCATGGACTGGTTGGACCAAAAGGTCTGTTTCCATGTTGTATGACTGACTGTAAAGAAAGCACTGCTGTGGAAATGCATGCTGTGGCTCAGGATTGAGATGAGTCTGGCTGAGGAAGATGTGCTTTTAGGCTTTGAAAGTTTTGATGCTACTACAAAATTGCTGTTTTTTTTTTAGAAACGAGTCCCAAGGCAATTCACAGCATTGCAAAGCAACTGTTAACAAATCATGTAAGGTCACATTAGGACAGTTGAATAAAAGCTCGGTGAAAGTGAGATGGATAGGTATACGAAGGAAATTCTGGAATGTTCAAAGCCTAGGCTGCTGAAGGCATAGCCACCATTAGTGCACAATTAAATCAGGAATGCACAGGAGATTAGAGATATTAGTTTTGCATGGATCTGAAAACCAATATGTGTGCTTTAATTTAGAAGCACTGGGAGTTTCTGTCAATCAAACAGTAGGGTAATGGGCAAATGAGACTTGGC